TAATTATTTACATTGATATCATAAAAGTTTTATTTTGTATAAACATCCATAGTTTAATCTGTAATCTAATCTATCTGTTAGTGTTTGCTTTTGATTTATAAGACTGGATTTCTTTCCTCAATAAATTCACTACAAACTTCCTATTATTATGTATGAGCATCTTTAAAACCCTCACTTATTTTCGAAATTATCAATTAAACAAGAAAACAATCATTTAAGTAGGTTTCTTCTCGTAGTTTTACTAAAAACTTCCCACTAATTTGCATAAGTATCTTTAAATTCCTCTTGTATTTTCGAAATTGTCAAACAGGAAGACAATTATTGTAACAAATTTCTTCTCTCAATTTTACTAAATACTTCCTACTGATTTGCATAAGTATCTTTAAAACCCTCGCTTATTTTCGAAATTGCCAATTAAACAGAGAGACAATCATTTAATTAATTCCCGAATGATACCATATTTACCAATACCCAATCTGATCCATATACAAGGATGAAAAATGTGTATTTGACGTAGACTGAAAACATTATTATAAAGCGATAATTTATTTGAATAAGAATTTGTGTACCGATTTCGAACAATTCAAGTGACGTATAACGGAACGTATAACGGAGAAGCGTTGAAATTCGGATAGCGCATGTTTATTCGTTTAATCGCGTCGTTGAAGAGCGGCCATTGTTACTTGGGAATTCAATGGGGCCGGTGTTGTTAATCGGATATTCGTAATTTCACGCGTAATCAAATTTCCATAAAATTGTTCCCAACGATTGATTCGTACAGGGACACGACGTGACATGCGACTCACGGAATTGTGAAATTGCGAAAGGGATTCAACTAAAGCAGAAAGTTTATTTAGCCAGATAGACTTTTTGGTGGCCATCGCGAGATGTAGAAAATTTAGTGTGCATGGGTCGATGGTCGATAGATCGGTTACATGCCCTTCTTTGTAACGACCTCGTATTGTCTTATTCATTAATTGCAATCTTATTGCTTTTGGTCACTTGGTCTTTATTCATTGAGGTATCATTAAAATTCCTTTCTTTGATATAAACTTCCATTAACTTTTATTGGAAGCTATTGAAGTGAAGAACACTGAACGTTTATTCAATTAAAAGTAGAAAGAGGTGATCGCGTTTTGTGACACCCTGTAGGTAGCAACAACGAGGCATCAATCAATAGCGAAACGTGCCTCGTTCTCCAAAAACGTTGTCCACTTAGGATACCATCGAAGAATCGATCGGGAATTTTGTTTAAAACCGCTAGCTCGCTCGCTCTCTCGCCTATGAGGCCACGCATGATCTTTGAAAAATTCCACCTTTCCCTGGGTTTCATTAAATATATTCACATGACGCCTCCTTGCCTTCACGTCCCTGTCGAATTCTAATAACTTTCGCTCAAAGCCAGGGCCATCGATAATCTCATTGTCGTGTGGGTATCAAGAATGAACTACCGCCAGTTGAATGGGGCAGTGTAGAAGCTGCGCGCGACTACTAATGCACTGTCAACAATGGATTTCTCATCAGAAGAAATCTCTTCCTGCTGCTGTAAATCGAACCTCTTCGCTTCTCACTTTTCGATTGCTTCAGGAGAAAATGCAGCAACGTGCGCTGCACACGATTTTTCAAATCGAATTCATCTGCCGTACGTGAAAGCTAAATCTTCATATTCTTAGTAGATTTTCCTGTTTGGCAAATTCTATATTTCCTATGCTTTCTGCATTTCCTATATTTTCTATATCTAGTAAGTCTTTCATATTTTCTATAATTTCTGTATTTTCTATATTTATATTTTGTACATTTTCTGTATTTCGTAGATTTCGTACATTTCATACATTTCGAACATATTTCGCACATTACGTATATTTTCTATATCTTCCATATTTTGTAAAATTCCTCTATATTTTCTATATCGTCCATATCTTCTATAACTAATAAATCTCTTATATTTTATATATCTTTCTGTACTTCTAAAAATTTATAGTAGTTTAAAATATATATTTTAGATAAACATTTGTGGTCTCATCTGAACATTGAAACATCCATTCACCTTTCGATATTACGAATTGTCTCATATATTACACGTGGTATTTATTATTTTTGCGAACTCTTATAATGGCATAAAAATCCGGCTGTAGGTCTCCTGACATGTTTTAGAAAGACGGTATTGGGATAGTGGGGTACCTATCAGCCAGCGGGAACAAACGACTACGCGGGGTACGTAATGCGAACGAGGAAGTGGTGGGTGGCAAGTGCGGAGTTGCCACCCTTCGTCAGCTGTCCTGTACGAGGTACGAGCCAAGCCAGTGCCAGTACGCGTCGTGGCTTCGCCACGTGCTTCTCGTCTCTTTGGGGAAGTTCGCGTTCACCGTTACCAGCCACGCGATGGTGGTTCCCTTGAGTTTCTTAAATGCCAGTTCGCCCTCGTGCTGACGCGACCACGCTCGCCGTGTCCGTGACGATGCGACCGATCCGACCGTTCGTGATCGTCGCTTGTTGTGCTGTTCTTGTGACCATGTGACCGATCGGCAGCAGAAAATCCAGCGTACTCTCGCGAGAGTCCTGAATGTGAGAGAATCTCGTGAAAATCCTGTGTAATCGGTAAGTCTTTAAATATTGTTGCCAAGCATTCTCACTCCTGCATTTACTTTTTTCTGGTGATAAATGTTCATTCGTTCTGTTTTAAGTAATTTCTAAATCAACAGTAAAAAGTAATTAAAACGACTTGCAAAAGATATGAATTTTTTCTCTGACGAACCTTGTTCTTTTTACTCAAAATTTATTTCAATCGAAACGACGTATGAAAAAAGAAACCGCGTTTGAGTTTAGGAATTGATTNCTAATTTAAACACTTAGAATTCTGCTAGAATTCTCAAATTACTATCTACATCTTTTAATGGTTATGAAAATCTCCATATTATGTTATATTCTTTTCTAGCATTCATTTGCCGATTTCATTCGACTCGAAAGAAAAGTCGCTACTTATATCTTTTCGAATTGCGAGCCTCTTATCAAAAGACGAATCTGTCTTCTACTTTTCAACTTAGTTGAGCAGCCTTATTTTTTGACATAATCACGCTTCTTTTTCACCCTCCGTGGACGCAACGAGCTCGAGCCAAATTTAAAACCGACTTAATACACAATTCCTTCACCGACGGCCACTCGTTTCACCTTCTCGGTTTTAATTTCTCGGTCACTCAACATCCGCGCACCATTTTCCTCAACTGACACTTTCGCGTTATACAAGTTACGTCGTTGAATGTTACCACGTTAATTACGTAGATTCGTTCAGCCTCGTTCTCATTAGTCAAGCTACTTGGCTTTAAGTCACTCGAAACCAAGTAAAGCGGCTTCAAAGCGCGTATGTAGTCATCGTACATCGTCGATCCTTCGCCTCTTGTCTGATCATGTTCGACACTATCTGTCTCAAAGAAATTGCTGCCACCTCGTCACGAGTGTTTGTATAAATTATTTAATTGAATCTGGGTTAATTATTCCTGACTTTCTTTGCGGGGCTACGAGCATTTCGTAGAATCTTAACTAGTCCCAGAGAATCGTTAGATGATACTTTAACGAGGTTTAATTTATTCTCTAAATAATTATTAAATAAAAAAGGTTTAACCCTGTTTTTCAATTCATTATCACTCGATCTACTCTTGATTCTTCAACAGTTTCTTCTTTTTATTTTTTTATGGATATAATACATTCTCTTCATGATACACATTGTAAAAAAGGTTATTTGCCTATATAATTAAATAAATAATTATTGCTTCATATTATTCACATAAACCTAGTTTATCAGATTTCTTGAATCGAATTTTTCGTGGAATAAAAGTTCACTCGTTCGCATTCTTCGACGGTATTTAATTGAACTTGGGGCAGCTGGTGAAAGCTCGATTCGAGCCCGACAGGTTGTTGCGAGTGCGAAAGCACGTTTTAAATATGATTGCCAAAGGGGTAAATGGAATGCCCTCCGACCCAATTCTTCCCGGGTAAAGAAAAGACCCTCCGGAGCGCGGCCCGCAACTTTTATGATGAAAACTTTCTAATCAACCTCGGGAATAAACGCGGGTCTTCTTTCCGTTCCCGCGGAAATCAGATTGTTGCTGTTATTCAACCATTGACAGCGATCGAATACGTTGAAAGGGCTCGCTGGACGGACGCTTCAATAAACCGTGGACGATGAAAAGTAAACACAAAGAAACGAGTCAAGCATAGGGGAAAAAGTATTAGTAGCAAATATAGTATTATAGTAAATAGTATTATAGCAAAAATTTAGCAGCAAAATAGTATTATAGTAAATGTTCAAAATATGTTAGTATATTTAGTATGTAATGTGTCTATAAACTATATAAGGGGAAACCAGAGACTTTAAGTCACATGGCAAGAGAATGTAAAGAGATGGAAAGAAAAAACAATGAAGTGAGAGAAATAAGACAAGGAGGAGACAAAAATGGCACAGAGTGGATTCGGGAAGTTCTAGAAAAGAAAAAGAAAAATAAAGATAATATACAAATACATGCACACTGTAATCCTCATTTTAAGATCGAAAGGCATAAAATAAATCTATTTACTTAGTCTGAAAAGGATCTATTAATTTCTCCAAAGTTAGCAAACGATTTTTTGTGCGATCGACGGTTCGCAATAAAGACACGATGAACGAACACTAAAGTAGTAGTTTTGATACTAATACGACGTGTGATAGCAGTTTAACACAGTGACGATAAATTCAATTTCTGCGATAGTGACGATATCATAAATATACAGGTGGCTTCGTAAATGCTTGACGCGTTTAAAGTCCCCATGGGAGTCGAACTTTATTTTCTAAAAGACAGGCAATATAAGGGCCATTGTGGAATAAAATACTGCGCACACTACTAAAATATATTTTTCTACATTAAATAAAAATGATATTAAAAATCTGATTCTCTTTTGTTATACAAAAGTTGTAGAGATTTCTTATTGCTAATTTTTTGGCACGTGACCAAACAGCGAATCGGTGATGGGAAATAAAAGTATGTAGTGGATTTATTGATTCTAAAAAAATCGTAATTCGTACTCGTGCGTATTAAAATTTTACAGTGCGTGTAAAACGTAGTACGTAAAAGACGTGTGACATGAAATGTCTCGCGACAATTGATATACCAAACGCAAGCAGATTTATCGTGCGTGGAAAAAATATTAACTGAGAGGGACATAACAAATCTTATTTATATGTCGGTGTATTTGTACATAGAATTCCCGAAGAAGAACGATCGAACATGGGAATACTTCGATTATTGGATAAAACATGGGGAGTATATTTGAATTTTAATTAGGAGATGAAAATTATATATGGCATCAAGCATCTCTAGGAAGCTTTTAAAGAGAAGAAAAATATTTGTCGAGGAGAACATTTTAATTAGTGAGTGTACCGACGGTTTCCTGGAAAAATTTAATCGACTCATTCGTTCGGTGAGGCGGACCAATGGAAAAAGGTAAATCGACGGACGTAGGAAAGGGGGGAGGACAAAAACCAGACGGGGGAATCGGGGCAAACGTAAAAAGCTCGTTCGAAGGAAGCTCGTAGCCGTGAAATAGAGAGGCAGCAAAAAATGATGAGATTGTTGTTGATCGACAAATAGGAAGGAGGGCCACGGGGGTCAGCCGAATTCCCTGTTCTTCCTCGTTCTTTTATACCCCCGCCTCGTCCCGTGTAACCAGTAAATGGTCCAGGGCTGCTTGTCGGTTGCAACGATTCCTCCTCCCATCCCACTTTTCTGTTTCTCTTTTTCTTGTTTACGAAATCCAGTGTCCCGAATAAATTCCCGCTGCACCGAGATTATCACATAACGATTACCCTCGCCATTTACTATCATTCGGTTCAGAACTGTTCTCGATACGGTTGTAACCAATCGATTGAAGTTTATGAGTTTACGGTGTAAGCACGTAATATGTAGAAGCGTGAAAATTTCAAGTTCGTCGAGTCAGAATCGTATTTATTATTTTCGACTCATTTTGTTAAAATATATTAAAATCTAACAATTAAGGAAAACATCAATTGTTAACAATATTACATTTGATACAATTGAAGGATTAAGAATGAATTATTATTAACATTTTCCATATACGTATGAATAAACGTAATCGAAATTGTATCATGTTTGGTGCCATTTTAATCAGAAGAATCTCACAAATATGATAGAAGAAAGGGAAGGTGTACAGAGCAGGTCCAGCGTACATGTGTAGAGTAGAAACGGTTTTAAAAAAAATCTTGAATCAAAATAGATGACTCGAGAATGCCCCGAAGACTTAACAAGATATACATAGGTATCAAAGAGATGAAAAGGTGTGATTGAAACTGCGCTCTCGTATCGAGAGGAACTTTGGTGGAGGGACATTGCCATTGGCTAAACCGATAAACAGCGGAAAGCTTTAGCCACGCGACTACGACGTTGAAAAATGTTTCTGCTCCGAAGCTTCTAACGGAGTTAGAAAAATCCACCTAACAAATGATTTTCACGATTGTGTCATCGTCGTCGACAGTAAGATCCTCTCTTTTATGTTATATAAGAATCCTCTCTTTTATGATGTATAAGAGATTAATAAAAATGTGACATAATAAACTGATATAATAAAGATATCAATTGTTTATATTGATATAGTATGAAATAAAGGCTAATATAATAGAAATATTATATCAATACAAATAAATTAAATATTAATATTATTAACTATACCTCGTCAAATATTATTAATATTTTTATTATATTAGCTTAATAAATTAATCTGGAACTCGTTCGTACAACCGAATTACAGACATATATTTCACAATGTGTTTTACGAGGAGAACAAATGCGCATTGAAAATAAATTTTCAATAAAATGTATACAAAATAAAATGTTACAACGAGCTACCACTGCCACTATCGTTCGGTTCTTGACGTTTCTCCTCGTCCTGATGAGTACCATCGTTTCTACTTTCATCGTCTGCATTCTGCTTGTCCGATGTCACGTCATCGTAGCTATATTTTAGATGCAGCTGCTGGACCGGTTGCCTTTGAGAGCTTCGAGACCGCGAAGTCGACCTCCTACTGGGTTTTTCGCCTCCATTGTGCTTCGATTCTTGATAAGCCGGCGTTTTCCTTCTTACTATAATATACAGACTCAGATAATGGCTAACAAAGCAATTGAACTGAACAGAAAGGATGACAAAATTTGCTTGACATGTGGCAATATGACACAGTCATGATACACACTGATGATACAAAATGAAGATATGACACAACCATGATACAAACTGATGATACAAAATGAAGATTTGACACAACCATGATACACATTGATAATATTGAACAATAATATACGTATTGGAGATACCTACCTTTAGTTTTCCTACTCTCATAGTCGCTTTCCGACGGATCGCTATAGTAGCTCTGATCATCCCTGAACTTCCCACTATTCCTTTTCCGTTTGGTCGATTTCGAGGCATGTCCGATACCCATGGCCAGCCTGCTGTTCGAGATCTTATCTTTCACGGTACGCGAACTTTCACCCTTTTCCTTCTTCTTCTTCTTGCGACTCCTTTGCTTGAAAGTGTTGTTGGGCTTCCTGGATCCACTGCGCCCTTTGCGTCTCCCCGGACGGTTACGGCTTCGGCTACGTTTCCGTTTCCTCTCGCGACGATGCCTTCCATGATCCTCCCTTAAATGTTAATATCCCATTATTCCACACGTATAGATTTAACGTTGACTTGAATGCACGATAATCAAAGCTGTAGTATGTCGTCGGCTTCACATGCTTCACTGACTGAGTCTCCTTAAAATTACTCAATGATTTCAGTCGACGATCTAAAGTTGTCAACTTGTTATAAACTCCATTACGTTAAGATTTGCAAATTGTTAAAATTCTTTCCTAACAAGAACCAAGAATTCTAAATTCATCTTCTCAAGAATCCAAATTTATACTATTTAGGACGTGGGTGTATAACTGACAAGCGAGCACGCCAATTTAATGGCTACTTAAAGGGAGACGTGACGTTTGCTACGTCTACGTTTAACGTCGTTCCAGCCGAACGGGAACTCGCCTAACTGTATTATCCAGATGGATATTAATTAGATCGTAGTCTAACTGCTCGTACTAAGTTTCCGGATGCGTTCAAGCGAGATTAGATGCGCCATTTAAGTCAGAAACGACGCGCCATCAGTGGAACTCGTTTAAGACAAGAGCATCCCTTCGATTTTTAGGTTTTTTGAAATAAACACGTGTCAACTTTTGTTCTACTGTCCTTCGTATCGTTCCACCGTTACGTATCATTATCAATGAACAAATGTTGTATCATTGTACAGGGTGTATAAAAATTCACGACCACCATAGCGGCATTCTACACCTCCCGATCGGTGGAGATCTCTTTATAAAATGGACCGCAAAATGTACTTCATTTCAGACTGTCATAGTTATTTCATCAGAATCAAAAGAATATTATGTATAAGTATATATGTATATAATTGTATTTAATTGTGAGTAGTAAATATATCATGGTATAATTTGAATCAATACATTTTATCAGATGATATGAGGTGTCCTAATATTTTTCAACTTGGGAGTAAGTGCAACGATGACACGTAACTATGACACGCAACAGTGATACGATACGTGGATATGATATGACAAAAACAATATATGGATATGTACCCTTAAATGTAACATTCAAACAGCGTTTAACATTTCTAGTCTAATTCTAATTAATAATACTAATAAATTAATGAATCACTAAAGGACTCACGCGTCATCGTCTGCCAGTTCGATGTCATCGTCGTCGGTTTTCGTCTTCGGAGTCGTTTGCTTCCCAGTGAACAAGCCTGCCGCGTCGATCGATGTTTCATTTTTTTCCTCGATCGCCGACTGTTTAACCGGGGCCGGATTTAACGTGAACAGCGCCTTGTAACGACCGCTTCTATGCCGCAGCAATCCCGCACTCACCGCGTGCTTCAGCGCCCGGTGAACCTGGAAAATCATTCCTAGAAAAGAGGCTGACGCCGCGCATTCAGACATGTTCTACGAATTACTACATTTCGTAATACACATGTTTCCTAAAAGCTAAAATGCATATATGTATGTATGACTAAAATCATATAAAACGTCATATAATGGAATGAGACAATAATAAATTGTTTCAAATAATAATTTTCATCTATTAATTTATCTTGTACAAAATGCAAAGCCTGCCTAAAAGATAATTTCCTATACAGAAAAGGTAGTGAAAAGTGATTTCGTGCATGATGATACAATTTATAACAGTAGAAGCTAAGTGCTGTTAGAATTCGATTTTATCCATGAATTCTGGTAAAATTTTCCGCATCAATTTTCCTAGTTGAGTCATTCGATCACGCGACAATGGTTACAAACAGACGCGTCCTGATTGAATTTGTAATCTCTTAAAGTTTAAAAAATTTTAATGAAAATGCCCCGAGTATGTAAGCAGTTTCCTTCCCGGCGGACGCGGGAGTGTTTGTTGGACCGTCAAAGACATTCGAAGGGATTCCTAGAGTGCCGCGAATTGTTTGGCGACCATCCTCGACGTCATCGTATAAATTAGTGAAATCTTACAATTAGCATCCTTTCCATTCTTAGTAACTCTTTTCCCTTACGTTCTGATAGAATATTAATTTAAATCGGATGACCATTTTGTTTGAGATATATTTTAAAGAAAGATTGCACGGGTTCGTTGTACACGTACAACGTTCTTCTTTAACACACAGTGTTTATTTCTACAATACAAATAGCTCACTGGATTCCGGATTCAGTTCGCACATACTTCGTACATACATACCTAATACATAGAAAATGTAACACGTTCTCTCTCTAACTTTGCTGCTTTCTGTGTGTTGGAGCTATGTATTTGGTATGCATGCGTGGGAAGCACTGATCTCTATATGTATGTATAACACTGTGTTATACATATGTGTTTTAGATAAATTGCTAAAGAACCAAATAAGATAACTGTTATGTTCCGTTGATGATAAAATGAAAAAAATGTTGATAAAATGAAAAAATTCCTTATCAACTGTCATGACAACAATTATCTCATGTAGCCTGATTTTTATTTGTAATCAAGCCTACTGTTCTTTGTCAATATTTAACAAACAATTTGCACCGCTTATTTCCTATCATCGATTCAATACAAGTATTTTAACCGGCTCGTCACAAGACAAACAATTGCGAAATAGATTAAAGTAAATATTGAAAGATAATAAAATCAGCACTAGTTGGTTTTTACAAGAAATGCAAACTGTTTAATTAGTACCAATTGAGGATATGTTCTTGTCTCACAGTGGATCCACGTGGTTCATTGATATACAAGAAAAAAAATGGAAAGATGTGTAGCCAAAAATGTCACATTTATCGCGAGAAAAGGTATAAAAAGGTCTTATCCTATATTAATACAAAACAATTGTATATAATGGGTCTTGCAATATGATACAATAATTTTTTCAATTATTGTATTTGGTATGTTCCTAAATGGCAGGGAAAATGTTGAAGCGACCACAAATGATGTAGATCTATCCTACTTTTTCGTGAAAGATTTCTATGGTCGAGATCTGAATCGTACGAAACTAGATTGGATGCACCATTATGTCACCTGCATCGTCAAGTTCCTCGGCGGACTCTTAGAAGTTTGCCGGAGGAAGTCGATAACTTCTCGAGCCCTGGATCCTTTCCCATCGCAGAGATGTGCCACTGCGTCGAGGACCCGATTCATTAATCGCGGATTCGATGAGTGCACCATGGTTGCTCCAGGAAACTTCGTACAACCTGTACATAAGAAATAGAAAGAATTATTTCAATTTTATTTATTATAATTGATTTATTATTAAGAATAATAATATTAATAAAAAATAAATTTTATTAAAGAACCGTACAATTGAAATTATATAAACTATTATCTTAATATTTATTTTAACTTATCAAATCCACGCTGAGAAGTAGAAGGAAAAGTACGAATAGGAAATTAAAAAAAAAAATAAGAAATTTAATAAATATTAGCAGGAATGCAATGCTGATTAAAAATATCAATAATGAAGTACGATTTACCCCGTGAGAATTTAAAATGCCGCAAGTATCCAACGTGTCCTCATCACTGCTCAACAGACATCCGGTTGGCGACATAAGCGAAACCACTTACTTACATAGTAACGTTTTTCGAACCACAAATTTAATTAAAACATTTTTAGTTTTATAGAAATCGACGGCGAATTGACATATCTAATGCGCGTTGCTTGGCACGTGTGCTGTCATTTTTTTAATCTCGATCTTCCACCGTGAAGCCAATTTCAACACTTGAACGTTACGCTTGAACTTATCAGATTGCGTTACGCACCTGATTCAAGTTGTTTTTTTAAACAAATACAGAAATTACGCATTTATTCTACTGACGTCTGAATCAGTCTGGATATATGAAATCATCTATATAAATAAACATTTCCGTCATAATATAAAAATAAATTGAATTACAAATGAATTGTAAATAAAATAATTTTAATCCTATGAAATATTCTACAAAATTCGAAAATACAGATGTAACTTTGAGAATAAGATCTGTAGTTCACATTGAAAATATTTTATGAAAGCTATTTTAACATTTAACTTTCAAAAATAAATGTCCATAATACTAAAAATAATTTTAATAATTAATGTTAAAAATAATTATGAAAATTATTTTCGACATAATATTGTCACATTTCTATATTTGTCATTTATTAACGAAGTTCCTAAGAATTGAAGTTGTTTAAAAATTAGTTTAGTATAGTTACCGGATGATAAACGCAATTCGTAATAATAATGTGATGCATCTGTGAAATTGTAACGAGCCGCGGGTAAGCGAATGGGTATTTCTGGGGTTGAAGCGCGGCTGCACAACATAATTTTGATTTTTTCGAGCGAAATACGTCGCCAAGCCTTTAAAGTGGGCGCATCTTCAGCTCTCTGAGGGTCTCGTCGTGTGTACTTTCGTGGCTGGTTACTGTGATTGGAATTAGCGACCCGTTTAAATATTTTACCGCGAGTTTGATGTACAAAATATATTTTAATGAACTTTCAACGTGGAACACGCTTCATTGTAGAACACGCACAGCTGACACTATTTCGTTTCGTAAATTTTTGAAATTCGACACTAACATTATAACTAGTACTATTATTATTATAGATATACATATAATTTACTTAAGGACGTATTGGCTNATGTTGACAAAATCCGACCATCCCAGCGTCGAAACAGCGAACTTTTGGGAAAAATTTTTGTTTTTTGCCAATAACTCCCGAACGGATGTACGTAAGGGGGCATGTATAGGACCATTTTGTAGGGGACGACGAGGTCTACAATTTCCATGTAAAATTGTTTCGCTAGCATTAATATTTAACGAGTTATTGTCGAAAAACGAAAAAACAGTTTTTTGCAAATTACTCGTTATCTATTGACGCTAGCGAAAAAATTTTACATGGAAATTGTAGATCTCGTCGTCCTCTACAAAATGGTCCTATAAATCTTTCTCTAAGTCCACCCGTTTGGAAGTTATTGGCAAAAAACGAAAATTTCGAAGAATTTAAAGAGGTACCCCTTGAACAATCTCGAAAAAATCGAAAATCTTTTTTCGTTGATTGTTATTAGCATTGTTCTTCCGACGTCTGATTTCTTTTAAAAAAAAAAAGTTTTAAAGTGCAGAAACTTTTGGGATTGAATGTATAGCCAATACATCCTTAAATTTCTGCCAGTGGAGGTGCTCAGAACGTTTGAAGGTCAACTTAGTTTTTTTAAATGAAACAGATATTTTTTTAACTCCCACGATTGCAACCCTTCTTGAGACAATTTCAATGACTAAGGTCATAAACATAAAAAGGGATGAAAGATATCATAATCGTTTCAGAAATTTCATCTTAAGCATTTCGTCGGAGTTCGTTTACATTCATGTTTACTTAGTGTTACGGATAGAAGTGTGAGTATTAAAGAGATATTTCGCGTTTGAGAACCGTGTATAAATAAATGTCTGCTAGTAGAGCTGTGGTTATACGTTACGAAAATTTTGGAAATCAGTTGAGATGAAAGAGGGCCTCCCCGACGAAAAGCGAGCTGATTATCGAGCGTCAGCTGCGGTTGGGCAAATTGCAAGTCAAACGCACCCTTAGAAGTGTCTTTCGCTTCTGTGCCCGCGTGACGCGACATGTTTATCGAGGCTTGTTTGCCGGAATTGCGGCCTGATCGTTTTCCCAGCAGCATCGGTTGGCTCGTAGGAAAACGGCCGTTTCGTAGGATCCTGCGAAGTAGCAGGCGGCGCGACGGCCGCAAGCTTTCCGAAAGCGAACGAAAATCGATTTTCCTCCAATTCGATTCCTTTCTATAGCCCGTCAATCGGCTGCGCCCGCAGGTACATACGCGCGTCCCTCGTTTCCGCCGGTTCTGGTACCGAATGGTATTAATTATCGCCGACCGACCGCGTAATTGAACCATTTCCACCGTGTCGGACGTAAATGCACGTTCGTCGCTGGATACGGGATCATTGTTCGATCCGCAGCTTCGACGAGCTTCAAGGAGGCTCGTTAATGCTAGTTAAACTGTGTAAGAAGCTTCTTATGGTCCTCACCGGGGAATTGAATAGACAAATTTTCCAGACAATCATTATCGTCTTATAGAATCTATTATAATGTGGAACAACTTTCCAGAGACTGGTACATATATTTCCAGAATTTCCAATTATGTACTAATTAATCAAGACGATAAGTATAACATAGTGAATGGACGAAGTTTCAATTCTGATAAGTAGCCAATGGAAATTTATGCAAAAACATATGCAAAATATATGGATAATAGTGAAATTAATTATACAATGTACACATATTTTTATTTATTGTTTACTGTACTTCACTTACCAGATATATTTGTTGTCTTCATGCGTTTGCAGAAAAAAATTGTAGTGGCTTCCTTTATTACTGCCTAATGTAAATGTGGCATCTAATGGTAAAAAGGTTTCCCACCTCTAGAATATTGAGTATATCTACTAGCGTTGAATCGATGAATATTTCTGTTTCAGATTGGTGTCTAAACGCTGGGCGTTTCAGGCGAATTGATGAATGAATCAGGATACGTTGTAAGGGAGGACCATCCCCGAGACATCATGAAACAGCGAGTCCTACTGGCTCTCGCCAACTTGATCACTTCCTATGCATCTTTCTTGTAAGTGATTCTTTTTTATTAACAATCATTTTCCAGAAATGGACAATAATCCATAGTCTATCAATCATAAGGAGACTGCGAATTTTATGGATTAATAGAGAAACTGTATGTAAATATAAAGAATGATCGCCACATTAAAAAAAGATGAGCGCTTATTAGAATGTTTATATATGAGTGCACGAATTTCTGCATAAAATTTTCAATTTTGAATAAAAATCTGAAGACGTCCGGAGATATTGATTAAATAATCCGCACGGCGGAACGACGCAAGTGAGCAATTATGAGAATAACGCGAAGGAACTCGACCGTTTATAGGATCGTGGCGATTCGGGTTCGGTTCGAATTGGGTTAATTGTCTGACAAGAGGGTTCGAATCAAACCGATTTCCGACGCTGCGATCTACATTACGACGCTCGTCTCCACTCCCGAATATTCCCCGCCGCACCGTTGCAGTTCGAGTTTCTGATCGAATGGACCGCGCTGGAAAATGCATCTCGAGCCCGATGATCGCTTCCTCGTACGCGATCAACAGCACGAATTAACCACCTGGAGTGTCATCGTTGTTAGTCGACTGACACTGCGTTCTGATTGCCCTACATATTTCTGTATTTTGTTCTACTGTATCATTTAGAATCATTTTCATCTCCGCTATATAAATTATTTTCCAAGATTGCTTCCACTTGTACCTTGCAACTCGACAATAAATAAAATAGCATACAATGAACCGCAGCAGAAAGTTACTTCGCCCCCGCGAGTCTATTTCGACCAGCGAGTCAACTGTTTTCCAATGCGGCTCTTTTTCCCTTTGAAACAGCATATTTGTTCTCCCCCATTTCGGTGTATTTCGACCGCGGCTCTCCTCTACGCCGAAATTACTTCCACGCTTACGCGTGCCACGTTACAAAGCCACACTACTGTCCGTCAATTTATAAAAAATAAAATATGGCAGATATGAAGAAAGAACTGGAGTCTAATTGTAAAATTCATATATTTAATAAATGGGTTATGTATCTGTTCATAATTATAAACTATTCATGTATTTTATTATAAATTACTAAATATAAAATAAAAATACAAATATTTTGTCCAGTTCACCAATTCACAAAAAATAAGCCTAATCTTTTGTACAGAGAAGGATGAGGAAGGAATGAATCAGTCGTGCGAAAGGAAATAAATCAGAAATGTGTTACGTCCTATTTCAAACAGGTCAACCATCTCGTTAGCAATTTCGATATGTAAATTCCTGCATGAGGTTAATCGCTGAGCCGCGGGTATGTCTATATTATTCTCGAGGGCCGTCGTTGTATGGAAATCCGTTTGATCGGGAGAAACGACCAGGAGAAAATCTAAACCGAGACTGATACAGGAATCGAAAGGCACGATGTCAGCGAACAAAAGCGGCCACGTTTGAAGCCGATCCCTCCCCGAGAAACGGACCAGGTACTCTACGTACCTAATACATATGTATACATACCTTCAAAAGTTTGGAACAATCTTCGACGAAACAAATATTTTCATATATCCATAGATGTTTTTTTTTTTTTAAATGTTGGAGTAACAATAAAATTGTATAGAATATAGAATCTTGTTTGTGTGTGATAATACCTACAACTTTTGATGTCAGATTTAAGTGGCTTCACTGCTGACGAGTTCATCGAAAGACTTCTGTTCTGTGAAGAATTTTCTTCATAATATCTATAAACAAATTATGTTCATGTCATTTTATTTTAAATCTATATACAATTCTACTGCTAATCGCTCCTTGTTCTATTACATAAAAATTCTTTTATACAAATACATTTGCCTCCCAATTAATTCATACAATAGGACTTCTATACTACAAATAATTTAACCGATTTTGTAATACACCCAGAAATCATTTTCTAACAGTGAATTCTTCTTCTCCTTGCCTTCTTTTCTATTCTTTAATAACCGTGACAAGAATCTCCTCCATTCTATCGGTTTTACGCGTTCGTCCTAACGGAGACCGTTACTACGGTCAGTGATACGTGTGTTCCGAGTTCAGGACGAGGACACAGATTGTTTCACGTATCGGTGCGTTTACAGTAGCATAGATGCAACCGCGAAGGAGCGTGCAAATGGATCGAATAGCGTATGACACAGCTGGTTAAAGACGAGGCAGTCCGGTACCGACAATATTCCAACTAGTTACATTGTAGTTTGCAGAGACGGCAGACACGTACAGCGGCTAGCCTCAACCGCTGAACGTGTAGTAGGCACGTGGCAAAGTTGATGGAGCAATTAAGACACTTTGGGCAATTAGCGATGTCGAGGAGGAAAAACGAAAAATTCGGGGATTCGTGCTAAATTGAAATCTATAAGAAAATTGTTCGGTCGATAAGAAAAGCTGTTTTGTTTTCATATCGAGACCTGCAGTTTCTAAAAAAACAGCTAATCGCGTTTTCTGTATCTAATTCTATATGTATAATATAATAATATCATATTATTATAATATGTATGTAGTATTAACAACATTGTTATGTTGTGTTTTTACTTATTATAGAAAATAATCGGACGTAAGAAAAGTATTATAAAAACGACTTCGTGTAATTTCTAATTTTGGTCCTAATTAACAGGAGTCGTTTTTAATTTTATTTCAGAGCAGCTACGGGTGCGAAGACGTCCACGAGACAGAGGACCCAGAGCAACAATCATAGCAACATCAGTGAGTTGTTAGACAATTTGCTTCGTGGTTACGATAATAGCGTCAGGCCAGACTTCGGCGGGCCACCGGCCACGGTTGAAGTCGACATTATGGTGCGCAGCATGGGTCCCATTTCCGAAGTCGATATGGTTCGTATCTCTTTTCATTCTTCGATTTTATTTCTATCCTATCAGGATAAATTGGTACCGAGTTCATATCTCAATCAACAATCAAGTTACGAGCTCCTCCCTTTTGTAGTATCCCCCCCAATAATAATAGTCAACTCAGATTATTCAGTATTCACTGATACTTGAAAAGAATTCAAAATTTAAGAAAATTGCTAAATCATTTGGCATGCAGATATGCGAATCTTAAGAAAGAATATGACGTTGTTATGTTACGTGTTTTTAAAACTGTGTTACGAAATATATTTGTACGCAGACGTACTCGATGGACTGTTACTTCCGGCAGTCGTGGGTGGACCGACGCTTGGCCTTCCAAGGCGGCAAGGAGACTTTAGCGCTAAGTATATCGATGCTGGCGAGAATCTGGAAGCCGGACACGTACTTTTACAACGGGAAGCACAGCTATCTGCACACGATAACCAGCCCGAACAAGTTCGTCAGGCTCTATCAGAACGGCCGGGTACTTTACAGTTCAAGGTAAGTGAATATTATAGGCAATCCTACACTAATCCCACCCCATCATTAGAATAATAGACACTATCTATGAAATTCATACTCCATTTTTCAAGACAATTCAAACTACAAAACTGTAAAGGATATTTCCGTAGAATCATCATTATGCAAATCTTCTCATTGTATCTACGTAAAAATTGTTCGTTTTTAAATAAACAATTATTACTGCATTAATAAATATTATTTACGAAACTCGCACTTATTTCACCAAAAGAAATCGAACTGTAAAATCGTGAAGAAATTCGTACAATCATTAGACGAATGTATGATGTATCTTATTGTAAAACTAACAACATTGTCAGGAATCAAGCCGGTAATCCGAGGTCCTTTGTCTCTGGGACGCCAAAGCACAAAGGGTGATAGTTACAAGAAGAACGATGCACTTTTTTGAAAGAACGAGGCCCTGTCCGACGCGCGATTCTTAGGTGGAACCGCGGTTGTGTGGGAACGCGAGCGAGCGTCCATGTGCAGAGGTACCTTGAGCTCAAGGGTTAATTCTAGCGCGCACAATAGAGCCGATGCAGAAAACTAGGTCAAGAGAAAGGGAATGGGTGAACAAAGGGGAAACGTACATCGCTTGATTCACCAGCTTTCTCTCTCCCTTTCTGATCCCTTCACTTTCTCTGCCTATTCCTACGCCCCTTTTCTCGGTTTCTGTTTGTCTTACTTGCGAATCTCGCCGAATTCGCGGATCAAAGAGGGACTCAAACCACTGTTCGCTAACGATAGTCTATAGATAAAGCCTGCTGAGTAAATCAGTCGCTAATGCAACTGCTAATACAAACTACCAATCACTTTACAAATCACATTGATCTATAGTAAACGCTGAAGTATTTTTGCTTAGTGGCGGTATAACTAATTAGAGACGATATGTAACTCGACAATTTTTAGGACTAGTTACCATTTTAATAAAATGTTATTTCGATTGAAAAAACTAAAATTCAGAACTCTTGATTTTCTAATACAAATCGAGTTAGGGTCTATTATCCTAGGATTATTATAATAGGATTATTATTCTAGACACGATCTACCTCGGCAATTTTGAGGACTAATTACAATTTTAAAAAGTTAACAACTAATTTTTATTGTACCTTCGACTTCCTTCCTTTTAACGCAAAATACAATCAATGAGTAAAATAATATAGCTATTGCAAAGAAGGGCATGTGATTGGCTGTTCCAATTAGCTGCATAATGGCACAGCTTATGTATTTCTACTGTGGTCTTTTGAACCTGAGTTTAAAATCCACGTAACATCTATGATTGGAACTCAATTCATCACCGGTTCTGGAATAACCCGAGCGTGATTCTCGAGTGTAGTTTAACATAAAAGCTGATAAAAGCAAGTCAACGGTAGGAGAGAAATGGCAGCATCATGCTCGATGAAGCGAAACGCTATCCGCGAAACGATCGGGCAGGAGCTTGGCAATAAAATAGAAAACGTGAACAATTCCATGAATCGCCATAAATTCTATGAACTGACTGTAAGTGATTGAAAGATATTGCCGGATCATTGTAAGAGCATTGTCCCGCGTTCGCGGGACTTCGAAGTCGTATGTAACTTCAATGTTCTTATTCACGTTTGCGAGTATTCTATTCCTCCACTAAACATTATATCCACGTGTATTCATTCATTTTTATTTTTAAAACGTTATAATAAATGTTTGTAATAAAAATAGTTGTCGAAAATGGAGGACGATTATGTCATAAAATTAGTACAAATATTTTCCTTAAGTCTAACTTTTCATCAAACTTCAACCTTTCATCCTTTTTTTCATCTGATAAATATTTTGGAACTTATAATTCGGCCTACTTAAATAAATTCGTGGTCTATTTAATTTTTATCTTCCACTCCTCTCCGTTCCAAATAAACATTTCGTAAACTGAATTCAATCTGCATTACGATAAATCTTGATGAAATTCATAGCGTCGCCCGAAGCATTTGTAAAAGAGTTCTGTGTATGCGACCAGGTTAAGGAGTGCCGTTCGTCGGGAACTGTGCAAGCACACTATTGTCACCGATTGGCGTTCATTAAATGTCGATCACGTCTATGGTGTTTGTCCAGCATTTTATTAGCTACTACAACAATCTTCTGTAAATGTTTATTCGGGCAGCTGGTTACTTTGCCGAGATTGGACACGTCTAACAATAAGCGCCGGAGGCTTTTAAATACCACCTCTCCTCCCTTTTCAGTTTTCCCATTGCGCTGAATCTTTCATCGAAACTTCTCGAAACCAACTCGTTGCACAAACTTCCTATTGTCGTTGTTATAAAATCAACTTTATTCTTTGAAAGCTTTCTCGTTGATTAAATCAAGACAATAAAATAAAATATAATTAAAATTATCATTCTATTCCCTGTTTTGCAATTATTGCAATTAATGGTAGTAAATTATGCATACTTTGCATTATCTCTAAAGTGATTAACGGATTGTGATTCTATGTAATTTGGCAAGTGATTTTACAGGCATAGTATAAGAAAGAATCAGTTGATTCAAGTGCCTGCAGTCTATTTAAGTCTTGTTAAACACAATAATAATAGTCAATAATAAGAAAAACAGTTTAATTCTGATGTTTCTTTCAAAGTTGACAAGTCCATAAAATTTTGACTGATAAAATTTCTCATTCCCATCCGACGCAGCCTCTTAATCAGAAACGTCCTAATTCCATTTTCAATTTCGAAATCTCTTGAAAGTCCCGAATAAACCAGACGTATATCGCCCACCCTCGAACGAAACCAGAGGTAAACAACGAGGCCGTTTTACATTTACACCCCACAAAAATGCATGGAATACACGAAACGTTCAAAACAAGTGGTTTTCAACTTAACAAAGTTGCGGAGGTAACACGAGGGCGGGAGAAAAGGAGGGGGGGGGGCGAGTAAACCGGAAGAGCTTTGTTAGTAAGCGGTTTAAATTACAACGTATTTTTTAACAGGTTCCGAGTTCAGTTCGTTTGCATGAAAATAACGAACCCGATTAGCATACCGAGTCGACGAAATCCTGAACCCATTTCGGAGCCAGCGGATCACGTAGGTATGTACGTGCCGGCCGGCCGGCCTGCCGTCCGTCCTTTTCCCTTATACCACGTAGGCAGAATCTAAAATCGCGGATTTTACTCGGGATAGAAACTCGCCCAGCGGAACCTCTTGGAGAAGGGATGAAAGATCGGATAAAGGGAATCGCGTGGCAGATTATCTCTGACGGATAACCCTGCAGTTTAGATTTGGCCTGGCCGGAAACGAACGGATGCTACCGAACGGAAGGAATGTACGACCCGTGCTATGCTTCGCTCGGTCAATCGTGAAATCTCGCGATCTTGTCAAAAGGGAAATCCAACCACCAAATCGAGCATCATTGCTGCGTAACGTAACACATTTCTCAGTTCCATCAATTTCTCTGAGTTTCGAATAAATTGATTATAAAATAAAAACAAATTAATTCTAATAAATATCCCAGTTTTTATTCATTGCCATATTTTTTTAAATAAATACAAGCAAAGCTTGACAATCTTTTTCGCTAGAATTCAACTACTTCCAGTAGACGAGATTACAGTAAAGTAGGTAAATGGCATAATTCCGTGATTTCATCGAAAAGAAAAGAAAGAGAAGAAACGATGATGATTTCCCTTTGAGTGCCGGCGGGAATCAAGCTGGCAAATACCGCGGTAGAGGGATAAGCGTAGTATGTATATAAGACGAAACGGTTGGGAGGAGGATGTATATAAGACGAAACGCCGGAGGAAGCCGGTGTGGCGCAGAGCGGCGGATGCGACGTAAGGGCCCCGGGTACTAACTCGGCGTGTGTACACTTCACGCTCGAGATGATTTATATCCCCTTGGACGGAATCGGGGATCTCGAAATGGTGCAGCGATTCCATTCCGTTCCGTCCGTCCATGCGTGGGCGCCGTAGCCCCGAGAATCTAGTAGACAGTTTCCAATATGATTCAATTCCCGACTACCGTATAACGCGGCGCAAGTCCACCGTATCCGGCTCTGTTTGTCCCGCTGATTATTCACGTTATCTGAGCTAATTAGTCAACGGAAGCGTTCGACAAAGGTCGAGGAGGGTAGGGGGAGACGGGGGGTTGCAAACAGGAACAGCAATTTTCGAGCTGTTGGCCTTCATAGTTTGTTAACCCCGTTACGCCTATCAGATTCGCCACTCGCCTCCTCTCGATTTTCCACCCTCCCACGTATGTTTCCGCAAAAAATATTGGCGCGCGCTCCCGCGCCGTTGCTGCCGTGTTAATCTTTTAAATATACTGATAATTAAAACCGTCGAGGTACATGAACTCAATCATCAAAACTGTCCAATCTGATGATTAGACTGCAGATGTTTATCAAAATTCCTAGTTTTGCAAATAGAATTAAAGAAACTAAGTCCATATAAACATTTAGTTTCTTCTATAAATATTGTAAATTGCTTTTTACTTAGGAAATCTTGAATTACTTTACATATTATTGAAAATTCTTATGAATGCGTAAACATCCGCAGTCTACTGATGACTTTCTAGGATTCTTGAGAAAGGAATATTTATAATGTTTATGGGTTACAAATCTTTATAGAAATATTTATAATTCATAAGTATTATAAAAAAATAGTTAAAAATATATATAATAATCTGTATAGATTCTAAATATTCCTATTCTATAGAGATAATAAATATAATGAAAATCCTGATCCTAATTAATAAATGACGATCGGCAATAATGATAAATGATAAATAAAGTAGGACAGTTAATTATCATAAAATGGTGTCAGTTATAAATTGTTGGGATTAGAAGCGGTAGCAGTGGCGCCATTAAAAAAATATGAAATCCGGTAAATCACAGAAATCGAACGAGAGCTGTGGCTTGTTTCAATTTGTGGCTCGCTCATTTGGAATGCAGCCAGCATTTGAATTCCCAGCTCGTTTTACATCACGTCACATACAACATTGACGAATGGTCCGGTCTACATCGTGTAACATTTTTTAAAGAGAATCTTATACATAAATATGTATCATATATGTATATGAAATTAATTAGACATTTCATGAAAGTGGTTTCAGATAATTCAATAAAAGCATAATTTAAGATTACATAATAAAATTGTAGAAAATGAAAGAAGTTTGCAATTTTGTATTCCTATAATTGTTAATACATACTTTAAGAATATTTCAAAGTCGAAGTAATATCAACTTCGAGGCTATTATTTAATATAGACAATAGAAAATAAGAATTGTAGGATTTGTAGACAATGCGAAGCCAGTGATTAGAAATTGTTACGTGAACAATACTTTTAATAAGAGATCTCTTACTTTAATAGGGAAATAACGAACCAGTTGCGTATAGAATAATTTACAAGGTCCAGCGGATTTATTTTGTGAGCACTGACATTTAGCCAGATGGACACGTCCAGGGAATATCCATCCACGCCGCGCGTTCGGAAGTCGGACGAGATCGCGAACGAAAAAAATTGAAGGACGGATTGGAAATTGCATATCGGCGAACGGATCTGGCGCGCCTTTTTATCGCGGCTCGCCAATTTCCAGCGTGTCCGCAGCCACGTTCGTTTCACCCACAAATCGACCGCTTAAACAGTTTTATCCGCTTTGAAAAATTTTTATTTCGGCCACGTACCTACCGACTTCGAGCGACTCCGCGCGACCACCTCCCGTCACCGCGAGTTCGAAAACTTTTCCAGAAAGCCATATTCAAGATACATGAGGGAGATCCTTCTTTGTTGACTTACTTCGAACTCGATTCGTACCACTGCGATATTTCCTTCAGTTAGACGAATCGCCATATTTTATTTCTTTGTGATGTCTGAAATTCATTGTATAGTGAAATCTATTTTATGAAATTCTTAAAATTGTATAAACCCTTAAATAAAAACAATGAAAAAGCACTGAAGTTTTAACAGTTGTTACATATTATGCATGTTAGGAGAACGGATAGAGAAGAACCACTCGCATAGTAATTAATATAATTTTAATCTAATAAGATGTGTTGGGCAAAGCATGATTGATCATTTGATTTCAGTGATATTTAATGTGTTAGCAACAACTTGTCGTATACTGATAGTGTAAACGTAACAAAGCTAACAGACTTCAGTTATTCCTCTTCTCTGTTTATCTCCTATTTACAAAACTATAACGCAATTTCGTTTCTCTCTCCTACCGTAAGACAAGTCACCGTGACGGGGCATTCAGCGATGAAAACGAAAGAAAAAAGCAAATAAATGCGAATTCTCGGAAACAGGGGAAAAATTCAGGGAACACTGAAGGAGCAGACAGAGGCGCGTGATAAAAAATAAAAGTAGAAGACGCGGCGGCGGTTCCTCTTTTCTTCACGGGCCGGTGAACGAGTCTATCTCCACCCGCTTTTGATGTCTACGAGCCCTTTTCAACTTCGGAACATTCCCGGTTTCCGATGTGGCAATTAATGCGAACATCCACCTCTGTAAACGCCATTTGCCGTTTAATTTGACTTCAGAGACGCGAAGAGTGAAATGTACGCGATGTACGTTTACAACCGGCAGACGTGGAAACTTTGAAAACGAATCGGGTGACAAATTATCCTCTAAGCAAACTTTCTGGCTCTCGCAACCCGTAAATACTCACCGGCGACGCAACGCCAAGAAAACTGTAGTTGGTCTCGGGAATAAATCATCGATTTGGATGGGGCTCAAGTATTCAACCGTTCGTATGACATTTATTTATCTTCTAACATAAGCAGGCAGCAGCGTTTATTCTGAACGGTCGTATCTTTTGGCTATCAGAGTTTGCGTACTATCTGTAACTTTTCTAATACGCATTGGTAAAATTTTGACGTTTTTTGCCCTCTTTTATCAATGACCAGGCAAAAGTAATGCAAAATATGGGTTTACGGGAATACAATTTTCGTCTTTATATGAGAATATTTTCCGGTCGTCAGGCACCTCTTCAGAAAGAGGAAAGTCAAATCTGGTGTGCTCTGGTCATTATTTCAATGAAAACGATCTGTTTTGAATAAAAAATCGCTTATGATCACAGGAACATTTTAACAAATTATTATTTATAATTAATTTCTGGTATTTTGTTTTTTGACTTCAGTAATATACATAACATAAATTTGGTCCCAATGTTTTTGAACACTATACACACATGCATTTGATCCATTTCTTAAACAAAAAAACAATTAAATATCTGCCTTTAGCATCCATTTGGAAATGAATCCTTCGATCCAAATTATACACGAAGCATATGTAGATATGTCGTATCGAAATTTCCAAAGAGTTCGGAAACAAAAGGAACAGACGAGCAGTCATAGAAATTCAGGAATAGAGAGATTATTCCACATACATAGTTACGTATGTATCCGTATTGCCTCGCGTTCCACGAATATTCGCGGCCGCTGTCTGTCCGACGCTTCGCCGGATTGAAAGAACAATACAGTAGCTTGTGACTCGCCTCTACATCGTCCGCTGCGTTTGAAAACGTCCGTTCCACTGAGGCTAAATAATATTTTCCGATAGCGCGGACCTCGCCCATTCTGTGAACGAATTAGAACCGCGGCTATGTGCGAAGCAACACGTGGGGAACATGTATGAATTTAACGTTCCAAACGTTCGAGTTATATGGTAACAGAGATAGCGCCATACATGCAGAATGTCCCGGAATGCACGAATTTCTTCTGCGGGTGTGAAACAGGATTAAATTCTGAGTCGAAAGTTCCCCTTCCATTTTCTTCTCTGACTATTATTAATAAAGTTATTGACGAAAAAAGAGTAGACCAATGGGATGTCAGGGGCGGGGCTACCACATTTTTACTTTAATAACTTCGATAATAATGATCATAGACAAAAATGGGAAAGGAACTTCGACTCAGAATATCATCCTAAAAATTATACAATAAATGGTTTATTTTGCATAAAGGTTCGCAGTCTAATTTTAATTATTACGATGATCTTTGTTTTTGATAATAAAATAGTAAATGTTTCTGATTTCAGACTCACAATCAAAGCGGGCTGTCCGATGAACCTGGAAAACTTCCCGATGGACACGCAAAGATGTCCGTTACAATTCGGCAGCTGTAC